GTGTCCCGGGCTCCGGCAGCCAGGCAGGCAGCGCGCTGGCCATTTCTTAGTTCTTGCTGAAGGCCATTGCCAGGGTGACTGGTCTGTCCCAATCACCCCTCTTACTCTTTTACCCCACAGCCTCTTTTCTCCAAACCCGATGAATATCAAAAGCAAAAAGCTTTTTTGGCTTCTGTCAGCAGGGAACTGGCCAAAGCTACCTTCGCCCTGTCTTTCTGCAGGGGTTTACTACTCATCAGATCACACCAGTTAGGGTTGCTGGTGGGCAGCCATTTCACAGCCTTGGAGTTGTCTCACTTTCTTCTGCTTTGTGGTGGCAGAGAGTCTTGGTTTTTGCATACATACATTAACATGTTGCAGCTCTCTTTCAGTAGAAAGCAGAAGATGATAAAGACTGCCTTGCAGCTTTAATCAATTCACAAAATTTCAGGTCCAGCACAACCCTCCCCCTGCTTTCTTCTCTATTCAGTCTGATCAAAATCATACAAGTCATCTAGGCAGCTCTGCTAGGGTCAATTGATATTCCCTTTAACCTCACTCTTGCTCTGCTGCTAAGACTGTAGCCCTCTTTTGCACTTTAAGGAAGCACCATTGCCAGAGGCAGCCATCCGGGCCCTTCCTTGGCCACAGCTGCCTGCCCTCGTGCTGTCTCCTCCCCTGCACACATGCAAGTTTCTGTGGCGAAACTCATCTTCATTACAACTAATGTGGGGACCAGAGAACTGAGCCATTTATTAACAACTTGAATTATAGCCTGAATCATCATCATGGATCAATAAAATAAAAATAAGAGGATCGCAAAACTTAAGAGAAAATCTTTGTAAAAGACTGCTGAGTAAATAGGTAAACACACACAAGTCAATCTGCAGATAAGTGGACCTACTTACAAAATCTGAAGTTCAGTTTGGACAACTTTAACACGTTAGCAGTGGTTATGACAGTTAGCAAAAATAAAAAAGGAAGCTCACCTTTACTTCAAAATTATGACACAATACCTGAAACTATTGTCAAAGCCTTTTTACGGAAATATACTTAATGTTGTGTATAAAAACACTCAGTAAGGCAACAAACTCCAAATGATAATCTGATCAAGAGAGAACATAATACATCGAAAACAATGACCACCAAACCATTTCACCCCATGAAATATTCAGATACCTGGAGAACAGCATTAAGCAATTTACTCTGTAGCACTCTCATGGATCCAAAAGCTGAAGTCCAACTTTCAGTAACTCCTTGGGTGAGCAGACCGTCACACTGCACCGCACAGCGTTTATTCAGAAATTTGAACCAACTGCACAACACAACCTTGAGAAAAGACATCCAGCCTGCAAAGCAGACTTCCTATTTGACGTGGTTCAGGGACCCAACAGTCTGTCCCTGTGGTGGCTGTACGTGCTGAAAGATGCTATTCTTCAGGTGATACAAACCCACGTAATCATTTCTTCTCCAAGACACAGCTGATGGAGGACAGGTAACTAGGATAGTGCTCCCAGACAGACCAGAGGCATGGCTATTCCAGCCGGGTTCCCTGAGCTACCATTGACTGAGCTGCATAAAGACAACAAAACTGAAGCTCTGGGCTGAAGGAGGCTGCTGGAAAACCAGCAGACAACATAGAAAATGAGGAACTGCAAAGGTGCAAAGCCCCCAAAAGAACCCTATCTCCCTCCGAAGAAAAGCACCTTGAAATTTTTTTTGAGTGAGACTTTGCCCCTTCCCTTTCCCAGTGCCACAGAAGAATCATGTCAACTTGTGCACGAGTTGCATGGATGGCTCAAAGGGCCAATACCCGTTTTGAAGAGTCTTTTTTTTCCCTGTTAGTGTGGTTCACAAGGGCTGAGTTTAATTTCACCACTCTTGCTTTGTTTTCTGGCTTTCCTTGTCAATTCTACTTGCCTAATTCAGATACATAGGTCATACTTTAGAAACATACCAAGTATAAACAACCACTTAACTTCCCTTTATTTGTTGCAGACCTGTGACAGGCTTTTAATCTGCCTGCTGCAATGAGATCATTAAATTACTGTCTACTTTCCAGCTATCCTTGTAATTCTGCCTGTACTCTTACCTAAACACACAGATTGCACAGTCATTTTTTTTTTCCCCTCAGAGTTTCACCATGAACTTTTTGCACTGCAATTTTGTTTCTTTTTTAAAGCTACTCCACCTAATCCAGCCCTAATCCATCAGCAGCTAGGCTTTTTGGGGATATCTAGAAGTGCCTGGAGAATTTTACTCTATACAAAACCTAAAGCCTTCACAATACCTACAAAGAAACCAACATTAATGTTTCCAGCATCCCTTTTCAAGCTATGCTTGGCCTTAAATAATTTTCAATGTCATTTCATAAAAATTCCACAAGTAACTCTCTCCGTATTAACCTCTCTGTCACATTAAATTGGAGGCTCATACAACACATACAATTTCATAGTCCTTACTAGGGTCTGAGTATCCAGTGTCAGTAAAGCCTAACAGCAGCTCAGCCGGCTTTTGTATAACTTTGTTTATGCCTCATTTTTAGATTTACCTACAAAAGCACCTTCATGAACAGAAACCAAACGCTTATCCTTTTATTTTCAACTAATCCTTTTTGGGGTTGTTCTGCTGCGTAACTAATATATTGCCGTCTTAGCTTACAGAAGCTTACCGCTAGTTTTGAAGAAAAAGTGCCTAGTACAGGCAACTCCCTGGACACCCTGTTCCAGGACCTGCGGCATAGGCATATCCAGCCGAGTGACCAACGAAAACAGGAAATGTGAAATGAAAAAAGAAAAGAGATTATGTTTAATCCAGCCTTGTCTGACCAATATACCGAAGACAATAAAGGTATTTTCTAATATAAAATGACTTCCTAATAAAAAATGCAAATATTAGAAGTAATGGAAAAATGGATGTATTAGCAACTACTAATATAAATGACTTCCTTTTTAACAGTTTAAAAATAATTCTTTTCTGTTTTCTACCTTCAGTCTTCAAGGTTCAATAGTAAACCACAGATGTGTAATTTCAAACAAAACAATTCAATGTCCTGAAGTACTGCTAGTGCTGTCCTGGTGCTCAGTCACTCAGAAAATATTTTCTATTTGTTGGCTGATAAAGAAAAATAAGAGAGCTTTCAGAAGGAGTAATTTTCTAGATACTGCTATGTAAACACTGCAATTTTTTCTTACATGCTCTGTTTTTAATGTGTAAAAACTCAGGCTTTTCTTTGATTTTATATTCAAGATTCCAAAAGGAAGAACATGTCAACCGACATTCCAGCTTCCCACAGCAGAGAAACTAGTTTTTTCAGGATGCTCAACTACTCAAAGCTACAAACTAACGTTCTGTGGGGTGTGCTTGGACAAGAGATGCTGCATACCTAATAAGTCCAAAATGATCACTGTACAGTTTGAGTGTCCCAATGAAGGCTTCTTTAAGTGGAAGATGATGTGGATAACATCATGTGTATGTCAGAGGATTTGCAGTGCTCCAGGAGATATATTTTCTGAACTCAAAGTTGTATGACAAGTTACACCATTGACTGTAATGTACCGAGAGTGCAACAGCACATTCACACCCTGAAGAGTTAGCGTAACCCCCTGCCAAGGAAATGTTTATAATAAAACTACATATATGAATACTCATTTTTTTAAATAGCACCTGGAAAATGCAAGTAAGAGTGCATCTTTTTAAAAATAATTGTTTTCATATGTGGAAATACCTTCTTGAGAAGGATGTATATAACACCTGTATTGTCAAAAAACCAGAACTTTTGGTAATTAAAAAAAAGGCAGAGCAAGACAGCTTTGTACCCCACTGTAACAAGTTGTTGCCCACAAATACATGTAAACTCACAGATGCCCTGAGTAACTTATTAGAAAAAAAAATATCCTGTAATACTTTATCTATCATTCTTGATTCTCAAATTAACATCTTCTACTATGTACCTGCAATAGCAAAACACCACCAATGCTCTTTCAAACAGAAGTAAACTTTAAGCTCAGATTGCTTTTTGCAGTGGATAATCTTTCTCTAGTATTGTGAATATAAACAATGCACTTGTAAAGGAACAAATATGTGGGCACCTGCAGATAATAGATGCAGAATTTCAAGGAAATCATTCTTTAAAAAATGTTTAAAAAAATACTCTCAACAAATGTTACAGTGTTTTATTTAATACTTCTGGACATATACATTGAAAATTGTGCTTCCTTACACACCCACTCCAACTCTGCTAGAAGGACTTCAAGCTTTAAAAAATGATTGTATTAATCCATTCTGATTTGTAACAGTTCACTACTTGTGCTGTTCTAAGACAGCCAGGGCTGGCAAGCAACTGAAAATAGCTGTACATTCTATTTCATAAAAGTTCTTACTGTAATGTAAAACTGTACTTACCCTGGTAATTATAAATATTAAAACATCTATTTTACTTGCATTCTTTCAAGCATATAAACTTTGTTCTCCAAACATTCATTATAAGTGCATGTTTTGCTCAGAGGTATATTGCATTATCTCATTATCAAGTGCAACTCAGCATTCATTAATATGAATCATTAAAATAATACGCTAATTAATACTCCAAGTATAATACTTGAAATACAAGTTTATTTTGTTGATTTTTCTGATAATGCCAATTTTGATATCAACTCAGAATGCTCTAAAACAGCTAAGTACAACATGGAAGTAAAAATATTAAAGCTATGAACATAGCTTAGAGCATTCTGAAATGACTACTATCCTGCAAAGTTTAAGAAACCAGTTTCATCAGAGACTTGCTTTCATCTTTGAAAAGACTGCAGGTTTTTCTTCTCTTCATAGTTGCTTGTTAAAAAACAAATCTAGCAACGGTGATCCTTCTTTGAAGCAAGGCCTGCCTTTAGCTTACCATAAACTGAAAGTCTGAGAAAAGAACTACATTTTTGGCTACTACAACCTGTCTTTCTTCTCTTTACAGCGTATGGTATGCCAATTTACTCTACAGTTCGGGAAGACTGCTCTTACTGATATCCCCCATAATTAGCTGCCTTCAAATCTTTCTTACAGGCTGGGCCTGTCACTTAATATGACACCTCTCAGAGCTGAGGAATCTGTTGTCCCAGTCTCACTTTGGAATTACAGTAGTTAGGCATGCTGCAGTTCATTCTGGTTAGCTGAAGTGGTTGGATGCTTAGATTTTTTTTTCTTTTATAAAAAAATCAGTTCTTCCTTCTTTAAGCAGCTATCTTCAGTCTTGATGGATCTGTTCTAGGCCCGCCTTTTGTGGCATCCAGTTCATTGTACTCTTCTATTAGATCAGACAAAGATGATATGGCTTCAGAAAAACAGCTTTGCTCCATCCCGTCTATATGCAGATAATGGTGAAGGTGTGCCTATGAGAATAAAGAAAATTCAGTATTATCCTTGTTCTTGGCGCCTAATTTCTTTGGCTCAATAAGAACCATTTAACCTGCACTGAAGACGGGAGCGCAAGCACTGTAGAAAGTAGATTTAAACACTTATATCATGACACCCCTTGCTTGAATACTTGGCAGCTTTAATAACAATCCCCTATGGAATCACAGTTGATACTACTGAGTTCTTACACATCCATCTTTTCACATTCTATCTTCTTGGGTACACATGACCAAATACCTGTGTATTGGGTTTATGTGGCAAGGTTTTGGCACAGGGCTGCAGGGGCAGATTTTGTGAGAAGACATCAGGAGCTGTCCCCATATCAGACAGATGTAGTTCCAGCTGGCTCCCATACGGACCTGCCACTGGCCAAAGCTGAGCCCGTCAGCAATGCTGGTAGTGCCTCTGTGACAGCATATTTAAGGATGGGTAAAAAATGCTGCACAACAACGGTGAGAGAGAGGAGTGGGAAAAACGTGAAAGAGCCCTGTAGACACCAAGATCAGTGAAAGAAGGAACAGGAGTGAAATTGAGCCTGAGAAGAAGGGGGTGGGGCAAAGGTGTATTCAGTTTTGGTTTTATTTCTTGCTATTTTACTCTGTTATTAATTGGCACTAAATTAAATTAATGTTCCCCAAGTCAAGTCTATTTTGCCCATGACAGTAACTGCTGAGTGATCTCCCTGTCCTTATCTTGACCCATGAGCTTTGCCAAGGACAACCTACCACAAACTGGTAGGCAGATCTGTCAGATACTGCCTCATTGCTGAAGTAAGTGTACTAATCTGTACCTACCAGGCAAAATAGAATCATAGAACCGTTCTGTGGTTCTATATTGCCTGGTAGGTACAGATTAGGAAGGGGTTTTTGGTTTTTAAGTAGCAACTGTTGGAATGATTCCTTGATAGGTAACATAAATGAAAATCTTGGGCTGTTACTTTTAAGCAGTCCCTTTACAATACTATGATTTGCTTCCCAATAATGCAAGATGCTAATGATTAGTGGCTACGGATGTTACAATGATAAGAGTTGTACCTTTTTCTTGTAGAGCTTCATAAATTTGTCTTTGAGTTCAATGAAAGTCGGTTTTACACAGGTGTTGTTTGCTAAAGCCAGAAGGGAATGGGAATGGCCCACAGGAGGTACTGAACACAAACCAGTTTTCCAGCCCTCTTGATTCCAGGACACAAAGTGCAGGGAAGGCTTCAACCTGTGAGACAAAAATTTAGTTACCTAAGGAATGTAAAGAACACAAAGTTTAAGTTTCCTTTGCTAACAAACAGTCTCAAAAGGTTAACTTTTAAGCTTTCAGAACTAAGCAAGCCAGCTATTAACCCTGGAGGTGTTCAATGCCAGGCTGGACGTGGCCTTGGGCAACCTGGTCTAGTGGGAGGTGCCCCTGCCCATGGCAGGTGGGTTGGAACTTGATCTTCAAGGTCCTTTCCAACCTAAACCATTCTATGATTCTATGATAACTTTCATTTTGAGTAAGATCTTTTAGACTTCAGACTAAAACACTGTGTCTATTTTAAATTTAAATTGCAAACACCAATTTTGTTTTGTTAATTTAATGTATCAGGGTTTGAAAAGTAAAGTTACAAGCACCTATTTCTATAAAAAGGACTGCAAGAACTCAGATTTCGGAGGGGGCAGATTAATACTGTGTGGGGACAATCAGTCTCCCTGTAGTTCAGAAATAAGAAAACACTAAGTTTCTCAGAAGTTTTCCCCACGCACCTCTGTCTGCCTGTAAACTCCATTCTGTATGCAAAGCTTGCCTGCCTTTCCTGTTATAACTATATAGATCAATAGTGTAGAAGTACAAACAGTGCAAACTATAGAGTTGTTAAGATAAAGATGGTTCACTATTTACGTGAAAGTAACCATGAAACAGAGGGGCCTTTTGTTCAGTAAAAAACAAACTTCTACTACAGAACTTATTCCTCCAAAATCCTTTACTGGCAGGAGACCTCTAGAAGCTCAGGCTTTGCTTTCTTTTGTATTTTTGAGAATGAGAAAAGCAGCACAGGGACATCTAGTCAGCTCCCTTTATCTGGAAATCCAAGACTGCTGTGATTTATTCTAACTCATAATGTAAATTACATTTTCTTCCCTTCTGAAATTAAGAAAAATATCTCTGAGTAAACTGATTTGGTATCAAAATTCTTCAAATGAAAAGTGAGTGCTCTGGACAACTGACAACAGTTTCAATTACAAATTCCATGACTAGTTTGTGTGGTACTACCAACCTTTCAATATTTCTGCGAAGGTCTGAAACTTGCACATTTCCTCGAACGAGAAGTGCACAGGCAAGGTAGAGGCTATGCTTTGGATCTGCCTGAATTAGTTGATGATCTCTACTAAAAGCATCTGAAAACATCTGATCCAACCTAGATGAAAAGAAAACAGTTATCTACCGTAACTAAAGCAGGCTACAAGAGTTCTTCAGAAGACCCACCTTCAGGGCTTGAAAGTTCATAAAATTCTGGAGATAAAGGTACATTTAACCTGTGACCAGAAATGACAGGAAAAAGATTTAAACCTTTATATGTACGTATGTTGGCTTTAGCAACTTTTAAAAAACACACTAGATCCATTTTTCCCTTTCTTCTTCCTCATGTTACAAGCCACTGTTGAGTCTAAAGTCAGAGAAGTAGACAGAGTAGGAGACCTTTATTGCAACAGTTTTAGGTCTAAGGTTACAAAATATTAAAAATATGTAAGAAGATTTAACTACTTGAGGTTCTGGTTATACGACAATTTAAGTAGACAATCTCACTGCTTGTGAAGGATCTGACAAGAAATACCAAAGTGCCATTGACCCTTACAGAACTGGTTATCTGCCTCTGTTACACTTCATTATTTAAAGGGATCAATGAATCATAGAATTGAATAATTTTCATCAATGATTTAGGAAAAGACAGACTATACATATTTGTCTACTTATTCTAATTTTATCATTGTCATGGTTTAACTGCAGCTTGCAACAAGGACCATGCAGCCGTTTATTCACATCTCCCCACCCCAGTAGGGTAGGACGAAAAGAGAAAAAAAACCTCATGGGTTGAGATAAAGACAGTTAAATAGAACAGTAACAGAGTATACAAAAATAGATTGATGCAATACAACTGCTCTCACCACCTGATGATTGGTTGCCCAGCCCATTCCAAGCAGCAATTGACAATTCCTGCCCCTGGCCAACCCCCATTTATATACTGAGTATGACATCTATGGTATGGAGTACTCCTTTGGCCAGCTTGTCCTGTCTATGCTCCCTCTCAGCTTCTATGGCAAGCCGAAAAAGTCCTTGACTTAATATAAACCTTACTTAGCAACAACTAAAACAATATACATTGTCAACATTCTCATACTAAATCCAAAACACAGCAGCTACTAGGAAGAAAATTAGCTCTATCCCAGCTAAACCAGGACAATAATGTAGGACTCCTTTAAAAGATGACACTGCAGATCATATTCTCTGTCTTCACCTCCTCAAGCAAGTTCCACTGTACTGTGGGATATCAAAGATGGTGTATTGAGGTAGTTTCTATGGACCCATAACATCTAAGCTATTCTTTCCATTTGTTCCAGACTCTCTCCATCTATCATCTATCATCCCTATTTTTTTTTTAAATCACCTCTGCCTATTAAAAAAATAACTAAATAAAGAAGACAAAAATATTACCATTCCCACCTCATTCTGAAACATGATTGACTGAGCATCTCCCCATAGTCTGCTCCCTTCCCTCCGGCATTGTATTGTCTCCTCAGGGTATGGTTTCAAGAGGTCCAACTGATAGTCACAACTTGCTATCATAGAAAAGGAGCGGTCCCGCCCTCTTCTCCACTTTGCATACTTTCATTTGGAACTTTTGCTGACTGGACTTAAATCACTAAAAAACCAGTAAAATCTATTTTAACTGTTTGTTTTTCTGCCATGTCAGTGTGATAAATAATCTCACAGAATTTTACAAGTGCCAACTTATTGTTACAAGCAGCTGTTAAATAGGCTCACTGCATGTCCAGACTGAAGATGCCATTACTTGTCAAGGAATCTGGATTAATTCCTTGTTTGTCTTTACAGTATTTTGTAAGTCAAGTGCAAACTGTTACTCAAAGGAACTTGTGGTGTGGGTTCTAAGTAATACATTTTTCCAACAGAAACATTTCCCAGCAGAGATAACAAAAATACATTTCAAGTTTATTGGCTCAACCATTCCAGATAAAAGGGACAAAGGATGTTCCTAACATCAGCAGGACGAATTTGAGAATGTGGCAGACTTAAAACTTTTAGAACTTCTACCCTTAGTTTTGCTATAAACAGAATTTTTTTAATGACAACTATGGAAGAATCAGAAACTAAGCTTCAAAAGTAACACTTTCATGATATTTTCTTCTTACCTTCTAGAAGGTACATTAACATCAGCTAATGTATACAAAGGAGTCAAGCTTGAAACCAAGTAATGAAGTCGAGGAAATGGAACCAAGTTCATGCTGATTTCATTAAGATCCATGTTAAGGGAACCTTCAAACCTAGCAGAGCTGAAAAATTAACAAATTGTTATAAAATTATTATAAACTATGTAAATTACTTTTATAATGTAAACATTCATTAAATCTATTTTTCAACTGTTCTGTACAATAAAACAGTAAAACAACACAGCGTTCAAGAAAGTATTCATGTATAATTACTAAACTTTCACATTTGGCAGTACCAGTGCTGTATCTTATTTACTTACACTTCTCATTATAGAACAATAAATCACCAAGAATGAGACCTTATTTCCCGACTGTAGTCTTTAGCACTGTTTTTCAGTACGTGGACATAGCTGCTGAATATCAGTTTTAATACATATGCTATAATAAAACATGTGTGACTTAGCATTCCTGACAAGCTGTTTAAAAGAAAAGCAGGCCAGTACTCCAGAAATATATTTCACCAGCAGTTTCTTGCAGCAATAGACAGTTTAGGAGCCACAACGGTGGTATTTATAAATAATGGTATTTATAAAATAATACAACTGGCCTAGAAAGGCAAACTTTCCAGGGCTCCAATAAGCATTAATGGAAGACAATATCCTTCTGCCAATAAGCCTTTTCTTACTTCAGTTCCAAGACTATCATGGCTAGAGCAACACCACTACAATCTGAATACTTCCAAATACTTTAACATTTAGCAACTAATTCTTAAAAAGGAGACTCATATCAAATGGAAAAAGAATTAATATTCTTTGAGTTGATGCAGGCCTGCATATCTGCAGTACACACTGCCTTCAGCAATACCACTTTTACAGAGGAATAACCTGTAACTTTACCTTGTCAGGTTCAGCAGCAAGTTGGCTACGATATTATTCATTGCGTCAAATGGCTTCTCTTGTACAGTTTTTACACCACCTGCACTTGATGTTACCAAGCTGTTTTGCTTCACAGTTGACCCTAGTTTCCCAGAATTGACCATCTGATGAATTTTATTAACTATATCAAACAGAGACTTTGAGAAAAAAAAAAAAGCATACAAGAAATCTTGAACACAGAGCTTTCAAATTCAGTATGCTAATTTTTCATTTCAATTAATCTTAGAGAAAAAGCTAAGACACAGTACTGTCAGTTCAAAGAGTACACCTTTGATACATGCAAGTCTAACTTTTGACCAATTCCAATTGACTGAAGTGTTTCTAAAAGTCTGTTTCTTACATGACAAAAACATGCACACAGCTGGATTCAGGAGTTTGAATTTTATTCAACTAATAAAAATCCTCATCTTCTAAAACTACATTTTAAATTTTCGTAACTCCAGTCAATGGAAAGATATTGTCTCTACAGATATTTCACTTTCCCTTGCTTTTTTCACAAGCAAACAGCAAGAGAGTCATCAAAGTTAGATACAAATTAGTCTAGTGGTTTGCATGGTCAGGTATGCCTATGATGCCCGTATCACTGATCAGTAAAGTCAAGTCTGTTGGAATTTGGAATGGTTAGTCATTTCCCTTGCAGGACTCTACTACTACCCCTCCTCACAAATTTATTGCTAAAAAAATGTAAGACTCTCAGCCTCAGTAAATAGAAGCTTTTCACCATTTACCTTGAAACAGACATTAAGAAACTCACTCTAGACTACTTTGAAGGTGCAGAGCAACTTTTTAGTGATACTGATACTAATTTCAAAAGTCTGCAAGTTACTCAGGAGTTCAATTAGTACTTTAAAAATGAAATTATTCTTTTAAAGACCTGGCACTCAAATCAACGCACAGAAGGAAGAAACACTTCCTATGTGCAGTCTAATAAAAAATAAATTGACAGAAATGGAATATTATTTCTTACTTCATTCTCTATTGGTAGCACACAGTCTGCATGTTCATTAAGCTCCTTCATAGCCAGAACACTGTTATATGGAGAAGTAATAACATCATCTTCACCAGAGGGATAAACTGAAGTAACAAATCTATATACTTCTGGGAATTCATCCTCAAGCAAATTCAGTACAAAAGTTCCAAGACCAGATCCTGTCCCTAATTATGAAGGAAGACAGAATGAGAGAAGATAAAAGGTTCCTCATGTTATCTTAAGCCTTAAGTGTGATATGTTGGAAACATACAACTTTTCAATTATATATATATTAAGCAATACTTTCTGAAGCATTTCGCTGACAGTGGGGGCTACTCAGATGTAAATTAAGGCAGGAAGGTTTTTCCCAGACAGGAAAACAATTAAGTGATAAAAGTATTTCCCATAGTATACCAGACATGATGAAGTATACAACCCCAAAAATTTCTGCAAACCAAAAAGTCCTATTACGTAACCAACATTTTTCTGACCTACTATTTTTATGTCTTTATGTTTTACTTTCATTCTAAAATCTCTAATTTGAATTTTAGAATAAAACATTTGTTTAAAAACATTAAACTGCCCCAAACGATTATTTACTTTCCTTTTGAGGTTTCTTTATAAAGTTTTCTCATTCTTCAGTCAAAACAGAACAACTCCTTTCCCCCAGCACACACGCTTTTTTCCTCATTAGCATTAAGCACACAGCACTGAGTTCAAATCAGAGAAGTGAACTGTGTTTTTTCTGTCTTGGACAGCTAACATTCTCAGCAGCAGACAATTTCATCTATGAACAAACCAGCAATTTTCTGCAATAACAGAAACAATATCTGCAGGGTCTCTCAAATTAAGCAAATGGCCACAAAAAAAACCCAACCCAACAAAAGGCCCTTGACAAAACTCTTGCTGCACATTTAGAGCTATTTTCTATATCTTCATAACGAGTTATAATACATGCTCCCTCCATGTTTCTGGGGGACAAAGTGGTAGTGGCAATACAGTAACGACAAAATCATCACTACAAGGGATTCTCTCTTCTAATTATTAACAAAATTGCTAGACTGGATTCAAGAGAATTATGTGGAAGGAAAATAGAAAAACAAAGTTCTTCTAAAGTTAAGCAACATCAGAAGTCTCCTTTTAAGCCTTTCGGAAACCTCTTTCCCCACCATTAAAAATAACTTGATTACAACAATGATGTCAGTGTTCTGAGGCCACTCTCCCTTCTTCTAATCCGTAATACCTCAGTGTTTCCTTGTATTTCGTACCGGTCTTGATCCACCCACTGCCTTGTGTTTAAAATTTTAGCTGTATTTTTATTCTGGGTAGTATTTCCCTTAGTTCATGATTAGGGCTCCTCAGTACTCTTAACAAAACAAATAAATAATTACAGGTCCACTTAATTGGACTGTGTTAATTTTTTTTATTCTGCATTCTGAATGATGTAGATTATTACATTGATCTTTTCAAGATCCACATTTTTCTTTTTCATCTGTGGCTAGTGTAATCATACTAAACATAAAGAAATTACTTACCACCTCCCATAGAATGAATTATAAAAAAACACTGTAGACAGTCACAATGTTCTGCAGTTTTCCTCAGCTTTTCCACAATGCTCTCCCGGTACCGATAGCCATACAGCTTATGACCTACAGCCCTGAAGAGATGAAAAGTACTTTAAAAAAACCAAATCCAACAATCAATCTTTCAGTTTTTTTATTTTAACTCTTCCTATTTGACATTTATTTTTTTAGAGTTCAGAGTCCAGACCTGGATGCAACACCTAATCTGTGAGAGCTGCTAAGCTGTGACTACATCATGTGAATACGGGAGTCAAAATTTAGTTTTAATTTTGAGGATGCAAGCAGCATGGAGGTCACAGCTTTGGAGCGTGCACTGTTGTTTTGTACCGATGACGAAATCAACTCCTACATTGGATGATCAAATTATAATTATGAAATCAAATTTATACACTCCTTAACAATAAGGATATCCCTATGTAACAGGTGTACTGATCTTCCTTTGAGTGCTATGTGAGTCACTTGCTAATAGTACTAAAAAAAGCCCAAACAGCTCATTTACAAAACACTTGCCTGCTAGATGGTTAAGTTACAGTATGCTTTATTCCTTGTATTGCACTCTTTTGGTACATTTGCTGATGATTTGCTTTCCAGTCTGCAGTGCACTGAATATTAGTAGAGGTGCACTAAGGTATCGGTGAAAATTTGGAAATCAGTATGTTAATCAATCTTTTTCTGAGTTTCTCTTTTTGGTAATATAGTTTATATGCACAAAGCCAGACTCCGTGGTGCTTAGAAGTCAGAAGTACATTTGTTCACATATCTTATTTCCACACTAGTTGCACAGCCTCAAACCAGATTATGGCTTTGACTGAGCAATGGATGCAGCTGAATACCAAAGAAAAAAATAAAAAGCATGCTCTTTCAAAAAAGAAAATCAAAAAAGATGAAAATAAAATAGACAAAATGATACGTCAGCAGAATTATGCTTCTGTAAAAGGCTTTTCAAAGCCCTCCTCCAGGCAACAGTGGCTCCAAAGTTTACTGGCAATATGCTGCAGCTCCCCAGGTGCAGAACGAACCAGAAAGCTACTGTTAGAATTTCCCTTTTCAAATGCCATCTAATTAGTTGCTAAGATATGCTTTCTGAAGAGGTTCTCACCAGTTGTTTCCTGAACCAGAAACATCTGTGATAAGCTGCTTGCTATCAAACACATCCCTCAATGGTCCCTGCAGAATTTCATTTACCACACCCTCCTCCATGTCAATCAACAGTGCCTTTGAGAAAGGAAAGAATTAAAATTCAGTCAGTAAGCAAACCACCCTTTGAAATAATCACACAAAGAAATAAAAAATTATTTACCATATAAAAGGTATGTTGTTTCTACCATGCTCCAGAGAAACTTTTTTATTTAAGTTGTTAACTAGGAGACCAACTAGATTCACCTTGGCAGATTTGCTAGAAGTCATTCAATAGGAGAGCATTTCAGATAATGCAATTTTGTTACTTTTAAAATATTTTTCCCCAATACTTTGGAATAAAGAAATTAAAGCATTTTTATGTTTTGAGTTTTCTTGCTTCTTAATCACTTACAGTGGCTCAAAGAAATCCACTCCTTAGAAAATTCAAATAAAAACTTGGTTGGTAATATCTGCAATCATTTTATTAAAATTATAATGTAAATTACTCAACAAGACTGGCAGCAAACTACATTACTCTGCTGAATCATAAAAGTTACTATTAGAAATTTTACTATTCAAAGTAGTATTTACATATGTTTTTAAATAAACATATGCAATCATAAGGATCTTATGAAAATTCCTACACAGTTGGATGTAAATATGCAATGTAAAAAGAATGACCTTTATAGATTGCCTTACTCGTGCTTTTAAAGAGCAGATCTTTCCTTTGTAAATATCAGGACGATCACCACCATTTCTGGGGGGAAAAAAATCCAAGCTCAGAATTGTAATAGAAAATAAGGCAATATATATTAGAATAAAATTCCTTCCTTAACCTTTTGTGCTCAGAGGACTGTTAGAATGTAAACAAACAGAAACACCTTGAACATTCTGCTAAGAGAGCCTTCATAATTCCCTGAAGTAACATGATTACAGGACACCATGGCATTCAGAAACATCCTAAGCAGTACTTCAAGAAGCTGAAAAGATAAGCATCGATTGCGCAAACAGTATTATCTTTTATCCAGCATGTGGTATATCTGCATCATATAATGGAACACAGTACACGAAATAGCACCACTAGCTTTTCAATGGGGGTAGTACAGCACCGTACTACTGCCTGAGGAGTGAAAGCTTTATAACTGCACTAGTACACCGCTGCGCTTGACTTATTTTGCCATTAAGATTTACCAGTCCAGAAATCATGCTGGGCTGACATAGCTTAATTTTCCTTTTTTTCCAGGATTGGTTGTACTGAGCCAACCTAGGGGACTATGCATTGTGTACAATCACATTTTTTTTTTCCACAATGGATGCTGGTGCTTCTGCACTCAAAGGATGAAATACACCAGTCTGGCCAAACTATATTCAAGACAGGGGAAAAAAGACAGGGATACAGGAAAAAGATCTAATTTTCCTCTCAATTTGGGAGAAAAAATTGGGGGGGGGGGTAGTCAAGCCTAAATTTAAAGTATCTCTTAGACTATTCTACATTCAACCACAGTAATATTCCAAAAACATCAGCTGAAAT